CCAACCACCCTAGGAGCTCTTCAGCCACTACCATGATCAACGAGAAATTTACTTCTTTACAAACCTCGAGCCAGGCAATCGACGACACTTGGGTCACCGCAATTTTCGGCATGCCGGACACTGGGACAGTAACCATGGATTCAAGGATTTTATTCCTCCACACGGAACGAAATATACAGATATAGGGCATGTCCAGACTTTTCGCTACAAAGGCAAGTTTTAAGTCGGGACCAAATTTATTTTGAAAGAATACTCAATAGGCCCAATCTTCGACAAGGCCGATCGTCTTAATGACGATGTGAAAGACTACGTGTTCTGCATGGTCATAATGAGCGAGTCTCAAAACCCATTCCACTTTGCTCGTATACATCAGAAAATTAATACCGACGAAATTAATCACTATGTAGATGAATTTTTGAAACCCTACAGTTTTATTCCGACTCCATAATGAAATTATCACACTTTTAATTGAATTTTAGATGATCGATGATGTACATACGTACCTATTGCCTTTTGGATATTGATATCCATTTGATTCGAAAAAAAAAACCTCTGGAGCTTTTTGCAGCTCTAGAGCTTGAAGAAGGCCCAGGACAGACCTGCCCCAATAATAGCTTGGATTATCCAGCCTTCGTGGCATTAGGCGATGAAGTTCTAGGTCTGGTTTCTTTGCATAAAATGGTCCCGTGATTATATTGGAGAATGATGGATGACAATTCTGCCATTGCCTTCCGTGGAATTTTCGTTGAGAGGTCAAATTTAAGATATTATCTTCGCCAACTTTTCTTTACGAGCCTCATCTTTCATCATCAATGAGATCTCACTACGGATGGTGGGCTTCAGGATGTCCAAAAGGTATCGAAAAGGCTCCAGCGTCAACTCATAGAATAATACTTGAATATCCACTTGGATTTTGTCCTTGAGGATGGTCGTGGGCAATATGCCCAACCTATCATCTTGTTCTGGAGTTGCGGCTGACTTATCTCGCTCATTCTCTCCAGCAATAGGTTGCAACAATGTTTCTCTAACGATTCTTTTGTTTTTTGACATGGAAGAACTTTTTGGCGGAAGTAACTTGCGATCGCACAAGTGTGTGTACGTGCAAGACTCATAGGAGTCCCATTGGGCGTGCCAATATGTTGTCGTTGAAAATTTTCGATGATGGCCCAATAAATTTAAGCCTATAAAAATCGACGTCACTTAGGTCCCCCGACCTTCTCAAAAAAGTATTTGGGCTGGTCTTATAGTAAAAATAAATCGCACCACAAAACCGGATGGGATTGATCGCGATAGACAATTTGGGAGCTGATTTGCAATGCAAAATTAAATGAAATTTAGACGGAACGGATAGACGTAATGTTAGGTAAAATCAAGATAAAATAAAGAAAAAAAATCTAGAGTTTATTGCACACAAGATTAAAATGCAGAAATATATGAAAGAAAAAATTAATAAGAGAAAAATAGTAGAAAGAATAATATAAAGAGTTGAAATCGGCTGAATGGATCTACTTGAATAGAAAATTTAAGTCCTATACGCTGTAGGAAAGAAAATAAGTTCTGAATGTAAACAAATGCAATAGAAAATAGATGAAAAATGAGTTGAATTATTGTGTTATTACGATAGAATAAAAAAAACTAATATATAATAAAAAGATAATGCAAGAAAATAAAATTGTTCAATTTGAGTTGGTGCTAGAAAAATGATTGGATCTCTCTCATTTGCTAATTTTTATTAGAGCTGACAAAAATAGGTACGATATGAAAATCCAATCTAAATCAACACAAAAAGAACCTTGTTTGAACCTAAAATAGTAGACTCGAAAAATTTCTGGCTGCCCCCGTTCCCTGCCCGGGTCCACTAAAGTCGGACCATGTCTGGTCAGGCCCGAATTTATAAATTAAATAATTATATAAATATTTTAACTTATAAATGTATGTAAAAATAGAGGTTTAGTCTAATGGCTGAGATCTTATGTTATTATTGTTAGAGTATGGATTAAATTCCTACACTTGTCATTTAATAAATTGTATATAGAATTTAAAAAAAATAAATAAATTGAAAAATAAAAATAAAAATTGGCTTGCTCGGTCCAGTTTTGAACCGGATCGTGCCCGGACCTAAACTTCTAGGCACGACATAAAACCGAATCAAATCGTGCCTGGACCTAAACTTCTAGGCACGACATAAAACCGAATCAAATCGGCCTGGCTCGAAATTGCAACCTCTAATTTATATTCCTCAATTTTTGGTATATTTTTAGTAACTCCACTAATCTATTACTAGTGATATTCTTTTATCCATGACTCCACATCTTCATAACTACTTTTGGATAAGATTTGATTGGACTTTTTACCCTTTGGGTCTAACGTAGTCTTCTTGGAGCTAGATAAAAGTTGTATTTCTTGGACAAGTTGCATCCTGGATTGTGCTATTGAGTCAGAGCTCATTGGGTCTGCTTTGGTGTGAAATACATATATTTAAATGTGTGTTTTAAGTTATGTTCGTACAAGTTCAACTATAAAGTTTCTTAATAAGATGAAAAATGTATAAAATATTTTAAAACATAATCATGTCATAATTTAGAATTTTCCTACAACACAATTAGAAAAGAAAGAAAGTTTTGAGAAAATTATCATCATCAATATTTGCATCGATGATATTATATACAAAGGTACACATGCAGCATTAGTTAATGAATTGAAAAGAATTATGATGATAATTTTGAGATGAAGAATTTGGGAGGATTACATTTCTTTCTTAGTTTGAAAATCAAGCAAGTTCAAGAAGGTTTATTTTTTTCTCAAAAAACTATTTGACCGATGTGCTCAAAGTATTTGACATGGACCATTGTTTCGCTGCTACTACTCCAATGAATCCAAATGAAAATTTGAGTTGATAGCATTTGTTTGGGAGAAGCAAGCAAATTAGAGATCTTGGTAGTAAGGTTAATAAATTTAACCAGACGCGGCTTGATATTGCATTTTTTGTTAGACTACTTTTTAGATTTATGCGTCATCACAACAAGCAACATTACGTTGCAGCAAAATGGATTTTATGTTATCTCGCTGGTAGAGGCGGAACCAAAACTTAGCCGAAGAGGGGCTAATATTCGAAAGTAAGACAATTTATATAATTTATACATATAAAAACATATATATTTCTTTATTTTCGGTTAATAATATTTTCAAGTTAGATTTTAAAAATTATGCTAATAGCACTGGTTATGGCTTATCATACCTCAGTAAATTATAATATGATATACACTTGTTGAATATCTTTAAATACATTGACAAATGATAACGCGACTATAGATATTTTTTTTATTATAGTTTCAAATTGACAAATGCTACATTTATATTTTTTAAAAATTGCTTTTAATAAAAAAAATCATTAAAATTATTCCATTCCCACAATTAAAATTTTATTTGATTTTAATTTGAATTCAGTTATTATATTTATTTTTTATTTAAATAATAGTTAATATGATATTTTAAGAAACTATATTTTTATTATAAATTATATATAATCATAATAACTTTGATTAAAATTAAAATCAAACAAATTTTAATTTTCAATATTTTTGATGATTTTTTTATTAATTTTTATATTATATATACATATATTTAAAAATATATATAATATTAAATAAAATGGTGGGGAGGGGTGAGGGGGACTGCAGCCCCTTGCTCTTCATCTCATCCGCCTCTGCTTGTTGGTACACGAGACTACAAAATTTGATAGATACAAAGTAAAATTTTTATTCTTGAAGAAATTTCCGATAATGGTTGGACAATTTTTTTAAATGACAGGAATAATACATTTGCAAATTATTTTAACTTCAGAGCAGGTCCAGTGTCATGGCTTTATCAGAAACAATCAAATATTGTCTTATCATTTGTAGAAACAATCAACTAGTGTCATGACAAACAATCAACTATTGTCTTATCATTTGTAGAAACAATCAACTAATGTCATAGCTTTATCAGAAACAATCAACTAGTGTCATGATAGTCTGTAGCCGATGCAACTACTCCATATCCTTGAAGATCTCAATCAAGTGCAGAAAGAAATATATTGTAATAGTTCATCGGTTGTGGCAATTGCTAAAATGCATAGTCGGACAAAGCATATTGAAATAAAGCATTACTTTATTCGCAATTTGGTAACAACATGAAGTATGCATCTGACATTGTACAACACATGAGCTTAGCTTGCTGCTCTTTTGCACGAACTTTACGCACATCTCTATATTACTAACTTTGAATTAAAGGGTGTTAAAAATCATTTATCTTAATTCAAAATATTTACTATTATTATCCACCCATTATATATTTATATGTAGATGGTGTCAGTTTTTTTTCTCTTTCTTCTTTCATATTTTTATTATCATTCTGTTTTCTTTGTGCATACAATATGCAAATTTTTTTCTTATATTAAAAAATTAAATCCAAACTATCAAAATATGTAATTTTTCCATTTGGAAAAATGATGTAGTTTTGAGCAAATACACAGGATAAAAGATATAATATTATAATTATAAAATTGAGAAGGTAATAATAAATGAGTATTATAGAAAATTTATTACTAAGTTGATAAAAAAATAATAGGATAAATAAAATAAAAAAAATAATTACACAATTGCTAAAAGTAAAAGTAATAAAATTATTTTATTATAAATAAAATATACATAAAGGATTACTGAAGTAATTTTGATGGAAGGAAATATATTATCTTATTTTTTTCAAAGTAACCAATTTTTATCAAGCTGACTGCCGAGCACCTAGATAATTTTTATTTTTTTTTATTTATTTATTTTTTAATAACGTGGGAACTTGCATCCGCTATCCGAAAGTGCGCATTGGGTAAACTCGATCGAACCTAATACCCTGCAAATTAGGCTCGACAAATCTTGTATGGCAGGTGACCCGAAGCCTCGTATATAACCTGTTTTACATGCAGTGTCTGTGTATGTATCTATATATATACTATACACACATACAGGAGGTTATTAACACTTAATTGTTGATGCTCACTCATATCGATCGATTTGGACAAAGATGAAGATCCGCAACAAATTCCTCTCCATCGCACTCCTCCTCTCCACGCTTCTCTGCCTGTCCTCCTCCTTCTCCTCTTCTGTAAGTCTGCATTTCATTCATACAATTACAATTATTACAATTACACAATTTCAATCTAGGTCAGGTCAGGTCAGGATCAGATCTGCAAATTCCAATTATCACATATATATATATTAATTCATGGATGATCGATTCCATGGATCCATTGATTTATTTGATTGGTTGCAGACGAAGATGCAGAACAAATGTGTGTACACGATCTACGCTCGAACCGGGTCCATTGTGAAAGCCGGAACAGATTCCCGAGTCAGCCTCGTCCTGGGCGATTCCTCGGGTAACTCGGTCTGGATCCCCAACCTCAAGCACTGGGGACTAATGGGCCAGGACCACGACTACTTTGAGAGGGCCAATCTGGATATCTTCACGGGTCGGGGTCGTTGCATGGGTCGACCCGTTTGCAGGGTCAACGTCACCTCTGATGGGTCGGGGACACGCCCCGGTTGGTACTTGAACTATGTTGAGGTCACCTCCACTGGGCCTCATATACCCTGTAGTCAGTCCCTTTTCCACGTGGAGCAATGGCTGGCGTTGGATGTTCCTCCTTACAAATTGACGGCTCAGATTGATAGGTGTGAGCCCAAGAAGCCCATTTCGGAAGCCCGGCGGTTTTTGGTGAAGTGACGAATCCTCTCAATTCGGCTTTGAAGCAGTAATGATTTATTTTATTTTTATTCCTTTTTGTTGATTAATTAATTATAAATAACTCGAAACTAATTCGAAGCCAAACAAGAGTCAGATATTTGATTCTATTCGATTTTCTTGAGGCAAATAAATCTGTTTGTTTCTCAATTTATACATATAAGTATTCTTTTTCAAATTTTATATTTATATTTATATTTTTATTTGAATAGTAATTTATACTCAAAAAAAAAAACAACCTTTTTCAATGGAATTGAGCCTTGTTGTCTAAAGTTAAATTGAAAAAAAAAAAAAAAGTTTATATAACCTTTCCTATTTAATTTAATCATTAATAGTTTGTTTTCTTATATTATGAGTTTGTCTTTTATTATTTCAAATCCAAAATACTATTCATTTAGTACCGTTTCAATAAAAATATATTATTTTTTTAAAAAATATTATATCAAAATATTATTTAAATAAAATTTAAATTAATATTTTATTTTAAATTAATTTCAGATTACAATCAAACAAACTTATTCTATAATATGAAATTTGTACGTCATTTTCTCTTTTCATCACCTTTTGCAATGCCAATTCAAATCTGATCAAATAAGATCATCTATAAAAAAAATTTCTCTAGGAAATATTTTTATCATTGCAGGTTATTTTTTCTTTCTTAAACATTATATTTTCTCTTTTGCAAACTTAACAAAAAATATATAAATATTTATATCCATACTAAAATTGTTTATTTAAAATTAAAAATTTTAAAAATATAGTAATTTACATATCATTGGTAAAAAATAAAATTTTATATAATACTTTATATTATAATCAATGAATTCAACTTCATAAGCATATATGGACAATACAAATAGACAAATTTTAAAAAATTGTCTTGAAATATACATTATCACAAAAAAATATTATAGTGATTTGATAATGGTTTAGTTTCTCTTTGTATTTGTTTAAGAGGAATATAATTTTTCGAAGAGAGATATAATTTTCCTTCAATTTATTATTGAACCAAGTAGTGGCTCTTTCCTAACCGGATGTTATCTAAATCCGTAAATTAAGGAAATATTGAAATAATTCCTAAAAGTTTTTGTTTTTGTATCGTGTTTTTTGTGCACTTCGAAATATAAATTGATAGCGTTCATGCAGGGAGCAGCTTTAGGATCAAGTTAAATTTTACTGAACGTGTCTTTCTCGAGCTTACCTACTCCTGCATATCGATACCGATAGAGCAATTAGCTCCCATAGATTATTACCGGCTGGCTTCCACTGGCCGTTGGTAACTTGACAACACTTGAAATTCTTAACCGAGACCTACCGGTGAAACAACCACATGAGAAGATTATAGTTTGTTAAATAAATATTTGTATTTCTAGTATTCATTTCAAATAGTATTTTTTTTTAAATTTTTTTATAGTACGACCAATATTTAATTTTATAGTGTATTTGAAGTACTTGTTCATTTTATTACTCATATTGTCTTCAATTGAAACCAATACTTTTTAATAGATGTTTATTATGTAAGCGACCTATTTATTTCCTAACCGTACATGCAAAAAAAATATTACGATATTAACTAGTTTGTGATTTTTTTAAAAATGCTTTAGTGTTTATACAACTATTTATATAAGCACTACAAACCTTCAAATAATTCAATTATGTAAACATAGTAGCCGCATGTAGATTTTTATAAGAACTAAGTTTAAAAATACATTAGGCCAATGAAATATTACAATAAATCAACATGGACTTGTTATCATTTTTATTTTCTATCCGAGAAAAAATACATTCTTTTTCAAAAGAATAGTTGTATTTTTGCAATTTATTTTATGTATTTTTCTATAGCGTAATCAATACATATATATTCATTATATTACATATACTTCATTCAATTGGGATCGATATTTTCTTCAAATATTTTTTTATTTCGATTTAATAGTTATGAATATTTAAATGTTTATATTATTTATTTGTCTATATATGAATATTTAAATATAGAATCAATCTACTTATTTTCCAACAATATTTGTAAGATTGAGTATTGTATACTTAATTACTATATCATTGTTCTTTAAATGCATAACATATGATTGTTGTAATTCATAAGCCCTATATATTTAACATAATTCCATGAATTCTATATATATAAAAAAACGAGTTGACGTAATTCAATTTCGGTTAATTTTTACATTAGAAAAATATAATTTTCAAACGAATGCTCTATTTTTAGGTTTCATTTCAGATATTATTTTTTTATAAATTGATCAATACTTTATAAAATATTTGAAATTTTTATTTATTGTTTTATTCATACTTTATTTAATCAAAATTGATATATTTTTTTTTATAAATATATATATTTTTTACTATTTAAGCATTGCAAATATTTCTTTATATTTATGATTATTTACGGGTCATTAATTTAAATTATTTTGTATTACTATAGATTTTTTTTTTCCCATCAAATGTGTGTTCCTTTGTGTTTTGGTTTGAATTTTGTGGTTTGAATTTTTTTTTATGTGAATTATAGAGAATTGTGTATATAATATAAAAATAATTAATGTGTATAATATATTAATTTTTTGAAAAAATGTGTTAAATTTTTTTTGTTAAAGAAACAAATTAAATAAAAGTAAATTAATTAAGCTATTAATGGCACATATTTATTTCAGCAATGTTGAATGATGAAATTCAGCATGTTATCAAACTTATTCTATTTTAAGTTTATTTTATACTCCCTTCATCATGTGTTAAGGTGTACATTTACGTTTGATGCGAAATTTTTTTTTAAAAAAAATAATATTTTAATAATAATATATAATTAAAAGTAGTATAAAAATAATTTTGGCATTGCTTTTTGACATAAAAGTCACGATGTAATAGTAAAATATAAATACTTGTAGAAAAAAAGTGGAGTCTATAATTATTAAAAAATAAATATGTACATTAACAATGGACGAATGAAAATAAAAAGATATATACGTTAACGCGGAATAGAAATAGTATTATATCAATAAATGATCTTTATTATATAAAAAGTAACCTATGTATAATTAAATACCACATAATATTATTTAATTTAAGATATATTCTCTTCAAAATAAATAATATTCACTCCGTCTCAATTGAAAGAGGTACTTTACAGTTTTTTAGTAGATTAAGAATAATATTATCTTATTAGTTAGTGGAAGTGTATAAGAGGTTTTGATATTTTTGTCATTTGATGTATAAAATAATTGTATATATAATAGTATGTTTGTAATTTAAATATAAATTAAAGAAAATTTTGATAGTAGTGTATGATAAATTTTTCTAAAATAGAAAATACATATTTTAGTGGGACAAAAGAAAATGGTAAAAGAAATATTTGATTGGAAAGAGTAATTACTTCACATTACTTTTAGTATATATATATATATATATTGCTGGTCCTAAGTCCGGACGAGATGGTGCTTGCCCAGGACCAAATATAAATAGAGGATCCATTATATATTTATATTATATATGTATAATTTTTATATAGAACTTATTTGATATAGATATATTTAGTGTACATTTACTATATTATTATTGTTGTTATTGTTGTTGTTTAATTTTTAGAAAAAAGTCATTAATTATATAATACTCTTTCCATCCCACTTATCATGTCCACTTTTGTATTTCTGTCTGTCCCATTTATGTTGTCACTTTTTTTTAGAAAAGAATTAAAAAAATTTAATTAGACTAATTAGTTATCTTAATCTTAATCTACAAATATTTTTATTATATAATAATTATTTTCACTAATATATTTTTAACTATTTACTAATTATACTCTTCTTTAATTTTCGTATTACAGTAAAGCGAACATGGTATCCAGAAGGAAGCAAATAATATAAGGATTACAATATAATTCTATATCCATGGCTAGGGCTCAAATAATATAAGGATTACAATATAATTCTATATCCATGGCTAGTGCTCACCTACTTTCTTTCTTAGCCTGCAGGTTTTCAGACTTGCTATTAATCAGAGGATAATTTTTCCAGAGGATCTCATATATATATATATATATATATTCTCATCATACAAAGGTAATGATGATTTTAGTGCTTCAATTGGGATATATTATGCCACCTTATGAACAAACATCAATTACTATCAATTCTTGAAAAATCATATCTAAATAAAGAGTTGAATTTATTCTGTGAAAAATTACATTCCACTGGAAAATTGCATCTCTTACTTTAAAAATAACGTAACATTTCAATCTCACACTATTTGAAATATATAAATAAGTGTAGAAGACTATGTATTAAAGCAGATTTAATGTCTGGAATAGATCTGATTAAATTCAATACTTGAGTAGTACTCTTGATTTTGCTGATAAAAAAAAAAAAAAACAGTACGGATTATCCCATAAAATTGATTTCATAATACCCGACAATAGGTTTGAACTACAACTTTTGGAAATTATGTCTAGACACAATTACAATCTGATTTGTATATCCAAGTCATTACTATTTTACCCGGATGGTGTAAATACTTCTCATAATGGTAATTTTATTTTATGTATATTTATATTGAACTTGCATTTTGAAAAAGTCAGCATTTTGTTGTATTTCTACGTAAGTGAATTGTTGATACATCATAAGAAAATACTTATTCATTTGTAATTGGACAGAATATTGGTGTATTTCCAACAGGTTCTTAAGTCGGCCAAGACTGCTATAAATACTTGACATTGTATTTAAAACATATACATAGAAATCAATTCTCCTCTTCGTCTCTCTCTCAATTCCCTGCCTGCACTCATACAAACTCATATTAACATACAAACACAATCATTACTTATATATATATATATATACACGCATATATATATATATATTACATATCAATATATATAATATATACAAAATAGTGATTAACAATAAGGATTATAGAATAAATTAAAAGAAAGATACCGATCACCTAAAATTTATCGTACTGTCAAAAGTCCGCAACGAATGGTAAAATTTGAGGTTGCATAATACTTCAAATCGGTCATTGGATATAAATCTCCCATATTCATGATCATTTTACAGTTGAACCTATGTGGTGAGAATATTAATAATAGTGACATAATGAAGAAAATATTTTCCACATTCCATGCCTCAAACCTGCTTTTACAGCAGCAATATTGAGAGAATGGTTTCAGAACATATTCAAATCTTATTGTTTGTCTTCTGGTGGCAGCACAAAACAACAAAATATTGTTGAAAAATCATGCATCAAGGCCAACAAGTTCTAACCCATTCCCTGAAGCAAATGCGGTACACTTTGCAAATTTAGGTTGTGGAAATAACAAAGGCCAAGGCAGAGGCCAAAGACACAACCATCCCTAACCTCATCGAAATAATGACAAGAAATCATACAAACCCCTAAAGAGGAAGAACGAAAAGAAGAAAAAAATTATGAAGATAATGTCACATATGCGGCACAAAAGAACACTGGTCACGTGTCTGTAGAACGCCTAAGCAGTTGATTAATTTGTACCAGGTTTCGTTGAAAGGGAAAAACACATATGCTGACGTAAATCTTGCTGAACAGAATAATGATGACACATATAATGATATCCTAAACTTCGATATTATGCATCTCGATACAACAAACTTTCTTGAGTACCCTAAAGGTTCCTAGTGATTATATATTTTATTGCTTTATTATTTTTTGTACCTCATCTAATTTTTGTAATCCCTCATTTTTGTATACTTTTGTATTGTATCGGCTATATTGATATATTTTATTTTATTTTTTTAATTCTGAAAAAATATTGATTCCATGTGTCAAAATACACATTATAAAGAGGATAATATTTTTCTAATTGACAGTGCGACTACACACACGATATTAAAGTATAAAAATATTTATCCCACTTGAAGTTGGAAAAAGTAAAAGTCGGCACAATAAGTGGTAGTGCAACATTAGTTGAAGGCTCCGGAAAGGCCTTTATATGTTTCTCTGAAGAAATCAGACTTATAATACAAAAGACATACTTGCTGAATTTCACTAATATTCGTAGAAAAGAATATCACATTAAAACAATGAATGAGACAAATAATAAATTTTTGGTGAGCACAAGAATCATCAATAAAAAGAAGTGTGCAATTGCAAAATTTCCCTCATTATCCTCTGACTTGTATTATGTCAAAATAAATACCGTTGCAATCAAATGAATTTTTGACTTGGCACGATCGCTTCGAGAATCATAGAAATACCAGAATGAGGCGAATAATTGAAAACTCCATTGGTCATTATTGAAAGATCGAAAGATCTTGAATTCGAATGAATTTGCGTGTGTTGTATGCTTACAAGACAAGCTGATAATCAGGCCGTCGGAAATCAAAGTTGGGACCGAATATACACATTTCTAGAAAGAATCTAGAGTGATATATGTGGACCTGTAGATCCACTATATGGGCAATTTAAATATTTCATGGTGCTAATTGATGCATTGACAAGATAGTCCC